AGCGTTTTATTAAAATACATGATTGACAGAATACAGACAATTCTCCCACACCAGATGGCTAAAGATGGCCTGGCCTATAGGGTCATTTTTATAAGGGTTGGGGAGCTGGATCACTGGGTAAAGGGCTTGCTGTGCAAACGTGAGGACCTGAATCGTGATCCCCTTGCACTCATGCAAAAATTCAGGCATCATGGTGTTTGTCTGCAATTCCAGGACCCAGATGCGGAGACAGAGGATACTAGGTGCTCACATCTAACATGGTTAGACAGTCTAACCAATTGATGAGCTCCAGACTCTGCCACAACAACAAAATAAGGTAGAGAACAAAGAAAGACACTTGACATTGACTTCTGCCCTCACAGGCGCATCTGTGGGCATGTATCCTTGTGTGCACACGCACGCACGCACACACCTGGCCTCTGCATTCAGACAGTCTGGGTTCTAGTGCTATTTTACTTACTGGCATGTGACCTCATGTCCAAGGTTCCTCTGGGTGAAAATCTTCTGAAGAGCAGAGGAGGAGACCAAGTCTCCTTGTGTGAAAAGTGAGATAATAAACAATGGCTTATAGATGCGAGAGGTACACAGAGCGTCAGCAAAGGGCTCGGCGCATAGGGTAGGCTCGGCAGAGAGATGCTCTTAGGGAGGTTCACCTACAGACATTCATCTGTTGATGGAAATAATAATACCTATTGTTCAGACGTGTTATGAAGACAAGATGTAAACCAAAAAGGATAGAAAGTGAAGACATTGAACCTGACAGGACAGACTTCTGTGACAAACAGCTCCTGGGTTTGGGTGGCTTTGAAACTATTTCTGGAATGTGTCTGAATCTGATATGTACAGATCAGGAGGCAAGGAAGGCATCTCTGTCCCAGGCAGTCTCTCAGGGACATGAGCTCTGACCATGTGCCACCTTGGGAGTCCTCCATTATTTTCGGAATCCAGCCCAAAATACAGGTCAAGGAAGAGTGTGAAGCTTTGGGCAGGGATTTTCACAGCTCTTCCCTGAAAGCAGCATGTATTATTTTGACCCATTGACCCATTGTGCAGTGCTGTGAACTCGGTCACATGGTCACAGTCAAGGAAATCTTGGAAATGCAGTCTGTTGTGTTCACAAAGATGCTTTGATGGACAGCTGACTAGCCTGCAAGTGTTCAGTGAATGGAGTCGAGTCAGGCCATAGTGATTCCCGTGCTTCCGTTAACTCCACCTGAATGGGTGGACATCCTCACTTAAGCAGTGTTTATTGGGCCAAGGATGAGCGCGCGACCACTTCTTACCTCATCTCCAGAAGACATAAACGCCTTCATTCCTTGAGCCATCCTTGACTCTAATGACAGGACTGAGGGTCTCAAAGCAGCAGCCATGGAGAATCACCTTTGCCATGGAGAGCCATGGGGATCCATTTTACTCATCGTGGTGAATTAAATGTTCAGTAGTTGTCTTTTTCTCCCTCTTTGTTCCACATCCTCACTGTTATGAGACAGATCACCCCAAAGTCAATGACTTAAGACACAGGAATGGGGTACCTGGTTTGTTTCGGTGAACTGAAATTTCTCCGCGTTATGTAGGTAGGTAGGGGAGTGTATTTCAACTAGTTAGAGTAATCCTAAAGACTAAAACAAAGAATTTAGTGATGGGTAAGCCCTATGAGTATAGCATCATCATTTAACCTTCAAAAAAAAAATAAGCTCTTGAGGTCGTGTGTGTCATTTTGATTCTTAGTCACGGGCCACTCAGGAGGTGGCTGGGCAAGGGGTTCAGCTCCGGGACTCTATGTGAGGACCCTCACAGTATATCCCACACCACCATGTCCTCAGCGCCTCTGTGGCACACTGCCTCCAATCTCATAATGAATATTAATTGAAAATATCAGTGCAGCAGCTGGCAGCAGGAGCTGCCGCAGTGCCACACTGTGTCCTGGTAATTAAATCCTCAACTGCTTTGTCATTTTCCCAGTTATCAAGGTCCCCACACTTCCATCCGGACTCTGGCGGTGGGGGGGGGGGGGAGCAGAGAAGAGTGCTCACCATGCTACCATGCTAGAGTTGTTACTGGATCCCAGCTATCTCTCCACTGCTGGGCTATCCTGGCATCCGTGTGTGCCTTGGGTCCTTTCCTCACTAACACCCTGCATAGGTAGCGGAAGTGAAGTGGGGTGGTCCTCAACCACAAACTAAGAAACAGTTTGGATGGCTGGTCTAGGAGGGGGAAGCCGAGGAAAGAGAAGTGGAGTCTAGGTGAGGTTACCCAAGGCCGTTCTTGAGGTTTAATCTCACTGTAATTTCTCATATCAGCAAATCAGTGAAGTTATCTCTCCTCAGACTCAATTGCTTCTCACACAAAGTGCAGAAATTGGAAACCTCTCTCCTCGTCTGATGCAACAGTTCTCAACCTGTGGGTCACAACCCCTTGGGGGTCATGTATCAGATATCCTGCATAGCAGAGATTTATAATATGATGTATAACAATAGCAAACTTACAGTTAGGAAATAGAATCATTTTATGGTTGGGGGGGTCACCACAACATGAGGTCCTGTATTAAAGAGCTGGAAACCATTGCTCTAATGCAAGCCTATAACTCACAGGTCTTCCTGGAGACCTGTTGTTGGACAGGTGACTCTCGGTAATCCAGGGAGACTCTCCTGATGCTTTGGCTGTGACAGCAGACACATAATAACACTGCTCCCATAATATTAACCACTGTGTGACATCATAGCTGATAAATCTGTGTGTGTGTGTGTGTGTGTGTGTGTGTGTGTGTGTGTGCTCTAATGTTTATGCCATGGAAGCAGGCTGCTGCAACTGGAGGCTTCTCATCTGCCCACCAGTTCCTGAATAATCACTTTGAGGCTTAATATTAATTACAAACTGTTTGGCATATTAGCTCAGGCTTATTTTTAACTAGCTCTTGCAACTTAAATTATCCCATTTCTATTATCCTATATTTTACCACAAAGCTCATGGCTTGTTACCTCACATCTTGCTTCCCCGCCGGCTGCTGGCATCTCCCCGACTCTGCCTTCTTTCTCTCTGTGTCTTTGTTTGGATTTCCCACCTGACCATATTTTGCCTGACTATTGACCAAATCAGCTTCTTTATTAATCAATGCTAATAAAACATATTTACAGAGGGGCACCCCACATGAGGCAACACACATTTTTTCAAAGCAGATTCTGTACATGGAGTGACTTATGACAGTATATAAACTCAATTTACAAACACCCTTGAAGAAACTCCACAGGCTCAAACCCTGAAAACTTTTCTTCTCATCAGGAGGGCACAATATGAATGGATTCATTCTTCAGCTTCCAGTGTTAAAAACTGTAATATTTTTATGTCTCCTTCTTGTAGCAGTAGTAAGTTCTTTGGACTCTTTTGCGGGGCCCACCACCTTGATCCCAAATGAATCACACACGGAGTCTTACTCTTATTTAGAAATGTCAGGCCTTAGCTTGGCTTGTTTCTTACCCACTTTTCTTAATTTATATTATTCCCTCTGCCTTTTGCCTCTGGGCTTCTTCTTTTCTCTTATTTTTATAAATCTCCCTTTTACTCCAGTGATTCTGTGTAGCTGGATGGCTGGCCCCCGATGTCCTCCTCCTTCTCTGGCTATTCCTCCGAACCCCTGCTCCCAGATTTCTCCTTCTGTATATCCTCGCTGCCTGCCAGCCCTGCCTGTCCTTTCTCCTGCCTCACTGTTGGCCGTTAGATCTTTATTAGACCATCAGGTGTTCTAGACAGGCAAACTATCCCAGCTTCACAGAGTTAAACAAATGCAACACAGACAAAAGTAAATTAAAAATTAAAATATTCCCAATGCCCCCTCCCTTTTTCATCTAGGGCCCATAGGTGATTTTAGGAAACACAGAATGTTTATCCAGTTGTTCACAGGTTTGGTTTTAACTTCAGCTCCCTTTTAGCCTTGGCTTCCTACCACCCACGATGCCTCCTTCATCTTTACCCCAGTAACTGTCATGCCGAGCTTTCAGCTCCCCCATGACAAATGCGCCTAAGCTTCCAAGTTGAGGCGGAACTCATCCAGGCAGCTGCCTTTGCCTACTCTGTAGAATTAGCTTTTACTACCTGCTACGCACAGGCTCCACGGTGTTGGCACCTGTTAGAAACTAAACTCGGGAAGTTTACCAACTAGTTAGAAACTAGACAAGTTTTGTTTGGCTTACTAGACAAGGTTGTGTTGTCTATTTATACCTACCTAGTAGTGGTACCAAAGCCAGTGACCATTCTTTTCGATTCCAAGGAATAGAAGTAAAATGGCTGTTTTCATCATCTTGGTCTGGAACACTGTCCTTTAGTGGAGGCAGGATGGCTTCTGGGAACGCTGAGCTGATTTAAACCAAAATGAAAATAAAATGGAATAGATTGACTCACAGAATGCTAAAATATGGAAGTATCTGGCTTCAAGCATAAGCAGATCCAAACCTCTAACAAAACAGCATGAAGAGCGTCTCTCTGTCATCTGGGTCTGTTACAGTGTTACACTGCCCTTTAGTGATACAAGATGGCTGCTGGGAACTTTGACCTGCTTTGTTACCCCAGTGGATAGAAAGTTGTTCTTTGAATCATGCATGCATTCCTGAGGCAATGGAAGGGATTGAAGGTACTTAAAAGCCTGGCCTGGGTCAACTGCTCCTCCCTGGAACCCCTGGAATTTTGAGGAGGCCTCAGTTCTACTTGCATAAATTAATCTGAAAATTGGGGGGGGCTGGAGACACTGAGGGATACGTTTGTTACTTGAAGAAAGGACTACAGAAGACAGGCAGTTAAGTGTAACTGGGTTACTACGTACATAATGAATGGCTTATTCCATACAATTTCCTTAAGGTTAGTTGGGCATGCTCAAGGGATATCATTAATCATCAGAACTGCCTACCCCCTGACAGGCAGCGTCTCCCCCAGTCTAAGCCAGTCTGCACTGAATAGACTGTAAGTGTAACCTGCAAATATCTGACCTGAGTTTTTTTGTTCCTTTGCAGTGACCTGGACAGAAATAACATCACCAGAATCACCAAGATGGACTTCGCTGGACTGAAGAATCTCCGAGTCTTGTAAGTAGCAGATGGTGTGCCGACGGGTTTTCATTTTCAGCTCTTCAGCCTGTGAAAATGGTGCGCTGCCCTGACATCCCATTCCCAAGCTCTGGGCCCCAGGAATCCGTGCTTCTGCTGCAGAAAGCCCTTCAGTGCTGTACCAAGTGTTCACAGATACCAAATTGTATGGCTGGACGCTGCTGGCTGGGCGAGATCGATAGGAAAACCGGGTTCTAGTGACAGGAAAAACAGAAGGCAATAAATGAATGAAGTCAATATGCCCTGCTTCCTGGATGACAGCAATGTCATGCTGACTAACCATGCCTTCCCTTCCAGAGAGATTATAATTTCTTCCCCAGCTTGTGCATTAGAAGAGCAATTGGGACAGATGTTATTTATCTTCCTGCTTAATGGAGAGGAGGGGAGGAGAGACGGAGAGGGCCAGGCAAGGGCAGAATCCTTGCTAGCCATTCACAGTTGTGCAGACAGGTTGCAGAATTTGAGGTAGGCGTTGATGGAATAGGGAGACAAGGAATAGCGGGTTTCCTTTCTGAATATTGTAGCGTTTTACCTATCCCTAGGTTTGGGTTTCGTAAGGAGATGCCTATCTACTATTCACCGAAAAGCTCAATGCTCAGAAATACGACAGCGGAGCAGTTGGGTTCTCTTTCTTTTCTTCCTTCCTAATTGCTGATTTTTACCCATCATGCGGCCCATGCCCAAGAGTACAGTCTGGGAAGTTTGATCCCCGCTTTGATGTTGTTTGTGTCATGGAATCTTGGCTGGTGCATCTTTATTGGCAGTTGCGGCTCACTCATTGCTACCAGATTCCTCCTCTCTTAACACACATGTTTTTTTTAAAGATTTATTTCATTTTGTATATATGAATGCTTTGCTTGCATGCATGCATGCATGTCCACCATATGTGTGCCTGGTGCCCTCAAAGGTCAGAAGAGGGCATCAGATCCTCTGGAACTTGAGTTACTGTTGGTTGTGAGCGGCCCTGTCGGTGCTGGGAATTGAACCCGTGTCTTCTACAAGAGCAACAAGTACTCTGAACTACTGATCCATCTCTCCAGCCTCTCAGCCCCCTGTTTCCACTCACAGCTGTTCAGAACAGAATGGTTTTGTTCTTGGGACAAGAAGTGCCAGATTCTGGTTTGATTTGGGATTCATTGCTCATGCAACTTTGGGGAAATCCTGTACCCCCTTGGATTTCAGTTTTTCCTTCAGCAGCATAGTGAGTGAATGCTTCAAAATCCTCTCAATTCTAGTTATACACAGAGTGCTTCAGGGCTTTGACATTTTCCCAAGCAGCGTTTGATTACTGCCTGTCACTTGTGAAGCAGAACTTCGGTCATGTCGATCTCTTGTTTGAGAAGCGTTAGTAGTATTGCTTAGGCTGATGGTGACCAGCATTTTCTTGGTTACTTACCGTGGACATGGTGCCTAGTCATAGAACAGAGCATAGGAGGTTGGTGTTATTATGGCCCCCTCTTTGCAGGAGAGGGAACAGCGGAAATCTCAGCTCCACGTAGTGAGCGACAGAGCAGTTGGAACTAGAATGCATGCAGTACTTCTGTGCTCCCACAGGAGGAGGATGGGGTGGAGGAAGGAGAGGGAAGGAAGTATGACTCCAGTGCATGGGGTCTTGAGGAGGGAGAGGGCAAGGGCATGCATCTCTGGTGTGCAGAGTGTGGCCTAAGTGGTATTCAGGGCCAGTGCACAGGAATGCGGGAACTGCTGCAGGGCCTCCAGCTACCAGATGCTCCCCCATGGACCTCTTCTCTCGCCATCTTCAGAGTGAAGACCGACCATGAGCTAAGCCTGTCCTGTGCTCTGAGCACCTGTGTGTAGGTCAAGCAAGTAACTGCTCTCATAAGGTCTACGCCCATCAGAAGGGGAGTTGGCATAGGTACAGGGGGATCCCTTGGTTCAGTTTTAGGGTATTTTGTATTAAAAGGCAAGGCAGGAGACTGATGCTTCTAGGTCCTTTGCTGGCTTAAAAGGCAAAACTGTGTTTAGGCATTTTTTTCTTTGTGTCTTTTTGCCCCATTTCTTCCACTTGTGCCTGTAAAGAGATGTTTTTTTCATACAAGTCAAAATTCACCTAATGCTTCATTTTTTTAACCAAGTCAAAAATAACCCTTTGATTTTCTTACTGCTGCAACAGAGAGACTAATAAAAATTCTAATTTCCATATCTGCTCTCTGCAAATAGAAAGTTTAAAATAATCACAAAAGATGACATTAATGTCTTCCGCAGAGTCTACAACCCTCCTTTGACTGCAGTTTATCTTTTGAGTTAATTGGTGCATTCTTCTATTTTGATAAGCAATACCAAAATGCCTTTTACTCCTTTTTTTTATCGACTGTTAATAGATCTGTTTCATTATCTCCCTTATCAGCTCATAGACAGTTCCTTTCAAGTGGCCCTTTAATTCAGTGAAAGAAATCTGCTAGGTGGAATAGCGGAGAAGCCTTCTAACACCGATCAAATATCCAAACATTTTAATCGTATTTCCCCTCCATCCATTCTTCTCAGCTGAGTAACCTGGAGAACTCTTTTTTTTTTTAAATTTTCTTTTGAAAAGCTTTCATCACATGCTGGCATATTCTCCATGTCTGTTTCTTATTTACAGTTTATGGTGAAGCAATAAAAGCCTCGATCGTCGTGAATAATTCGAGCTTGCCCCCCATTTCCATGCAGAACGTCTTCTGTCTGCTAATATGGTGCAGGTGAATGGGTAGACAGAAGAGAGGCTGGTGAACTTCCGCCCCATCCCCGGGTGATTTTCCCTAAGTGGAGCAGAGATGTAGGAGTTGCCTGCAACCGTCATCTCTCCCACAGGTTGAGAGCAGGGAAAAGTCTCTTCTGTTGGTATCAATTATATCCCTTTTCTGAGTAATCCATTTAAGGGCTTGCTGTGTTCGCAATGTGGGAGCCAGCTTTATCCCGAATGGGGTTAATAAAAAGAGTTTAAACTCCGCCCCGGCCGTCATCACAGGAGGGCCATTTCCGATTCTAATCTAGTGGAGAGAAAAGGAAAAAGCCAAAAAGTGCCAAAGAACTGAAATGAACACAGTCTGTGTCCCCCTAACTCAGAACAGACACCAGCCTTGGACAGCTCTTGTGGGAACCAAAAACCTAGCCTGACCGTGATCCCACGTCCTCCTGCGTCTGGCTGGTAAACCAGGACCTGGATCAAGAGCTTTCTTACACGCCCTTCGCTTGCAGTGTTGCTTGCTGTCTCCGTGCAGATTTCATGGCTCACGTAGCCACTGACAGATGCTATTATTTGTCGAGTGGTATTTCCTGGGCCTTTCAGTGCCCAGCACGAGGCTGTACTTGGGTGGGTTTAGGAAGTCGGTCTGAAAAGGACCCTGGATACCTTTCCAATGGGAACCAAAGGATGCTGCAGGGGGCAGGTGAGGAGAGTTAACGTTGACAGAGGTGTGGGTGGGATGAGATGGTACAGTTCCTCAGGCTAGCAAGAACAGAGCCACAGCTGCCACGAGGCATTGGGGAGCAATGGAAGCAACTTGATCTTCAAGCCCAACAAAAGCAGCTGTGTCTTAAGTAGAGGGACGCAGTCACCCTGGAGTGGTTTGATCGAAGGGCAAATTCCCTGACCCCCGCCTGTCCTTCCACTGTTCCCAACTCCTTCTAGTAAAACCCAGTGCCTGAAGCCCACAGTAAGTGGAGGCCAAGACGTTCTTTGGAAAAGCCGTTGCAAGCCAACTTCCCAGGGCCTGAGCGAGGTAGAGCAGGGAGAGAAGGCTCGCACGCAGATATCACCCATCTCTGTTTCTGTTAGCGTAAGGAATACGAAGCTGACAGATGCGTTCTAGGAGGGCAGAGCGAAGCCTCTCCATATGGCCAGAGGTTGACACTCAGCTACTCTAGAGCTAGTCCCTGTTCTAATTGGAGAAGAATGACAGTGAGTGCTGGTTGATTGATTGATTATAAAAGTCTGGCCGATCAACCCCCTCGTCACTAGCATTGAACCGACACCCTGTATAGTAAATGTGCTAATAAAAGTCTGTTAGCTTCCCAGGGCCTCCTTGCCATAAGGCAGGATGGAGATGAGGAGGGAAGGAGAGGGGAGGGGAGGAACATTTATTAAAAATTACAGATTATTACTTCAAACACTGGGCTTCATGATCTATTTAATCCATTTTTATTCTTCTAAGTGCTTCTGTGGTGTCCTATTTTCTGTATTTTACAAATGAGGAAACCAAGTGTTAAGGGTGATGGCTAGTGTGTTCATTACAACACCACCATCTAGTAAGAAGGAAGGCAGCGATCCTAAACTATACTGGGGACTCGGAAGTCCTCTCCTCAGCTGTGTGGTTCCCCACGGGCAAGTCTCTTAGCTGCCCTGTTCTTACCTATTAAGGGAATGGCCTGGAAGGAAGTGGCCTGTCAAGGACAGAAGTTACATAAATGGGAAGGCTTGAGAGGTTGAGGATTCCGACGAACAGGCAGACCCTCCTGGCCCATTAATATTTGCACACACCAATGTGTTGCGTATTTGAACCTAACGACCTACCCTTGCATGCCCTGATAGAAATCTCACCTTGTCCTTTATGGAGAAGCCAGTGTGTGTTGGCCCCAAGAGTTGTGGTTTTCATTCAGTAGGCTGACAGGTAGGCCATGGTGCTGGGTTGGGAGTGGGCCACCATGCTGGTCTTGGGGGGTATGAGGAAGTAAGATTCTCTTCTTTAATCTTTGAAAAGAAAGGATTTCCTCTAGTGAAGCACAAAGGTTGAACCTTAAGCCTAAACCATGCTGGAGGTTAGGCTATCCCAAGGGGTGGGGTCATCGTAGAAGGTCTGTTCTGGAATGAAGATAGACCCTTCCCAGGTCAAGCTTTCTAGCCCAAAAGGTGGGGTCATCATAGAAGGTCTGTTCTGGAATGAAGATAGACCCTCCCCAGGCCATGCTTCTGCCATTCCAGAGGAAACTGGGGCTCTGCCTTCAATCGCAGCTGCATGTCCCCCCAAATCTCACGCAGCCGCCGAATGCAGTCCCTGTCATTTCTTGGCCCATTTCCCACCCAGAACCCATGCATCATCCTTGTGTCCCCTGCCTGTTCAACTAAACCTAATTTAAACTCTTTTTTCCCAACTTGGTAAACTGCGGAAACAAATGTTTCTTTGTATGGTCAACTTTGAGGGCGAACCCTGTGCGTGGATCAAACTCACTTAGGCAGAGTGACTGGGACTTTTAATCACCTGCTGGGAGAACATAGAGGTGCGGCACAGCCTGTCCCCAGGCATAGGGACGGCTTCTGTGAGGTCGCTATCTTGAGGAGGTTGGGATGAACCTGGCCCTGCTTAAGGGACTCTCTGGGTCCTGGCTAGCTGTCTTCAGCACAGAGCTGTTTCTCTGTGACTCTGTCCTTTCTGTGAAGTTGAGCAGGGAAGGAAGGCCCTTTTCAATGAAATATTTTTGAATCCCTGGAGGAGGGAGCTCCAAGGGAAGGGGTGTTGAATGTACGTGGTTTCTCCAAAGAGCAGCTTTACCTCTTCCATTTCTGTGCAACGTTCTGCAGTTCTCTGGAGGGGGGTGGGGGGGACACATTTGCTGGGAACGTTCTTAAAATAGAGACATGGAAGCCAATCTGTCAGGTAGACGTGTGCAGGCGGCGAAACTCTGGTTACCGTGACACCACACTGGGATGCAGTGATTTTGTCCCAACAGAGTGATTACGATTGGGAGGACCCGGGGTCCTAGGAGGGGCTACGTGATACAGCTGCACAGCCCAAGGCCTCTGATGAGGCCCCTGACGACTTCAGTCCCTGACCCTGGGTGCCTTTCTGATTCCAGGCATCTGGAAGACAATCAGGTGAGCGTCATCGAGAGAGGTGCCTTCCAGGATCTGAAGCAGCTGGAGCGATTGTAAGTAAAAACACAGCCTTGGATCCTTAAAAAAAAAAAACAAAAAAAAAAAAAAACAAAAAAAACTGCGTTTATTTTGTTTTGTTTTTGTAAATTGGTCTTGTGACCTTGGTTAAAAACAAGTCTTTCGTGTTCCATGGAATGTTTTCTACTCTATTTAAGGTTGCTTTAAAGCATGTTACAGAGGCACCGAGATCCATATCAATTGTTCTAGAAAGAACACAGTGGCCTACATTGCATAGGGGGCTAGAATTCTTCTTCCTGGGCTAGAGGTAGCCTTTGGTTTTCTCACATGGGGCTGCTTGCAGCCAGACCTCACCTCCTCCTTTCCCATAGGAGTGCGCTAATGTCATGGAAAGCCATCAGCAGGTCCTCTACTGCTTAGACTTATCCCCCTGGGTCTTCTCCTGGCATTCTTGTGGGAGAGGAAGGATGGACGAGTGGGCGCAGCCTTCCGCGTGCCTGCCTTTCTGAGCGCCAGCCTGTCTCAGGAAACCCACACGTTTCCACGAGAGAACACATTGCCACTGGTTTAAAATAGGCCGCTGTTCTGACTTGATCAGAGGGTGGGCAGCAAAAGAAGTGGGGCTGGGAGTTGGATGGAGCCTCCATTTATTTTGCCCGTGAACGCTTTTGCAGAGAACTCTGGGGTCGTTGTGATGAGGAAGGTTGCTCAGATGGTTAAGTGGGCAGCTTCACCTTTCCTCAGTTAATCATAGCTGACAGCTCAGAACATCTGGAGATTTGCTTTCTGCCCTCTGAGTGGGGATTGTCCCTAAGAGCACTTAGTCATGCCGGTGGGCGGCTCTCATCGATGCCTCCCCCTGCAGCCCCATTGCCCTGACATTTCAGCTTCGTTCTGTACTGGGGGGCTGGGACTGCAACAGTTCACGGCTCTGCCAGCTTACCTGGGCTGGGGGGGGGGGGAAACAAAAACACGGCTCTGCTTGTCCGACCTGTTGCCAAAGCTCGCTTGCTTGGAGACGAGTCTCTTCTTTTTAGAGCCTTGCTTGACTGAAATGGATTGCCTGACCCAACTTTCTTTCTTGTGTAATGTGCCGTCCTTTCTCCCAGTCATTATATCCAGGGCCACATGGCAGCAGGGAAGGTCCTTGTCTCGTGGGGATTAATATATCCCAGAAAAACGCTTTTCTCTCCACTGCTGTGTGGACCCTCTCATCCGTTGTTTTCTTCTGGATCAAACTCCAGCATGGATTTGGCTGTCACTAGTTTGAAAATATGACATTTATTTCTAGTAAGAGAAAAAAAAGGTATTTAAAAGCTTACGTTATCTTTGTTTGTGTTTTGATTTTCAAGTTTCCTAAAATTTAAGTTCTTTTTTCGGACCAAAGAAAACGTAAAAGTGTTTGTTAAACCTTGTTCCTCTTTGTAAAATAACCAACATTTACATAGAAAAATAAACATATGGTCCGGTGTGGAAAAGCCTCCTCTTGCTTAGTTTTGTGATTAGAAGGGTAAATAAATTCTTAATTTGTTAATTTCATGGTTGTTGGGAGGGAATTAACGAGGGCTTTGGAGACACCAGGGACTCTGTGTGTGTTTCACATGCGATCCATTCTTTTATTCTACCCCCTTGCCAAATTACAAGCAACGATGAGGTGTCGTTGCCCTCATTTTACAGACGAAGAACCAAAAGCCCAGTGAGAGTAAGCCAAGGAATTGTCAGGGCTGGGGAGGAGTCCAAGTCACATCTGTCTGACATCAAAGCCCTCGTCCTTTCATATCCCTGTGTTGCAGACACTAGATGAAGTGTGAGCTTTAACCGTGGCCCTGCAAATAGCCTCTCACGTACCCATTCAACTCCAGGGAGGCTCAGGGAAATATTCTGGCAAAGGTCTCTTTGCTTCAGAGTGGTGAGCAAGGCCAAAATACCATGCGTGCCTGGGGACCGGAAGGGATTACAATTGCTGAGCAAACCTGGCTCTTTGTCTGTTTTGGTATATGAGGTGGGTAATGCTAGCTGCAATGCTACATAAACCCTCAAATCTCAGTGACTTAGCACAGTGGAAATTTGCTTCTAATTTCTACAAACTCAGTGTGGACATTCCTGTTAGGGCCTCTCTCTCTCCAAAGTACAGACTCAGGGACAGGAACCTTTCATGCCTTGATTCTGCCATCTTAATATCTTGGTTTGCAGTGTACAAATGGATCAAGTCAGAGAGTGGGGAAAATGGCATGGAGCACTGGGCACTGGACGTCTCCATGTGAGCACGGGAAGAAGTCTACCATGTCCATTCTTACGTCCTGTGAACTAACCATACAGCTGTAGTTAAACTGCAGGGAAAACTGTCAGAAGTGACCGAGTTCTATGACAGGAGGCAGGAGCAAGGTTGGTGGGTAGGTAGCCTGCCTAACTTCTGTTGCAAGGAAGCTGGAGAGGTACTTGGGCAGGAAGATGGGAAGTCTCTGCTATTTGATAGGCATCAGGGTCAGTAAGAAGGTAGGGTTGTGTGTGTGAGAGGTGGGGAGAGAAGGAGAGTGTGTGTGAGATAGATAGATAGATAGATAGATAGATAGATAGATAGATAGATAGGGGATGTGTGTGTGTGTGTGTGTGTGAGAGAGAGAGGGGGGGGGAATCCTTACTAGTGTAAATCTGCTTTCTATTCAGCAGTCTGCTTTCAGTCACACTGTGCGACATGAACTAAGAAAATGCCACATATTTACCATTAGCCTCTGGAGAAGTAGATGGTGGCTGTGCACTGTGCCATCTGTAGCACGCTCCAGGGTCTCCTTACCCATGTCTCTGTGTTGCATAATAGAATATTTTTATTGGTTCCATTCTAAAACACAGCCTAAAAAGTAAATGGATTGGGATAATTTCCATTCTGAGTGTTTTATTCTTGGCTTATTCTCTTGGGGATTCACTGGGAAAGAGAAGGGGGGGTTGTTAAATTTCAAGTCTTAACTTGGAAGTCTTTTTCTCCATGAAAGGACCCCCAGACTATGTTAGGTACCCTTCTCTGGTAGGTCATTTCCTATTGCAATTACAGATCACCGAGGCTGGGTGTTTTATAAAGAAAAGTTGATTTAATTAATAATTTGGGGGGCTAACAACATAAAGTTGGGTGACCCCACCCATAGGGCCTCTGGTGAGGGCTTCATTAGCTGTGCTGCATCATGGTGGATGCATCATGGTGGGAGCTTACCTGAGAAGGAGAGATTGATTATTTAGGGAGGTAAGAAGCCAGGGAGTAGGAGGGCACAGGCTTGCTCTTATTTTCTTTCTTCCTTCTTTCTTTCTTTCTTTCTTTCTTTCTTTCTTTCTTTCTTTCTTTCTTTCTTTTTTTTTTTTTTGTTTTAAAAAAGCTTTTGCTTAGAAGCCGGGCGGTACATGCTTTTAATCTCAGCAGTCAGGAGGCAGAAGCGGGTGGATCTCTGTGAGTTCGAGGCCAGCCTGGTCTACAGAGTGAGTTCTAGGACAGCCAGGGCTGTTACATGGAGAAATCCTATCTCAATAAACCAACCAAGCAACCAACCAAGCAAACAAACAAAACCCATGTTGATCTCAGGAGAAAAGCAAACTTACTTTCCATGCCGGTATCAGTGTCTTACAGAAGTCATCCGTGACCTCTCCACCCCCCGCCCATCATGGCACTATCACCCCCACTTGGCCCTGCCTCCTAAAGGTTCCATGGTTGTGTCTTGTTTTACTCTTTCGTCTTATAAGGGGCCCGCCACTCAGCTCCCAAGTAAATCACTGAAAGAGGCTTGTTCTTAGTTATGAATGCCTGGCCTTGTTTCTTGCCAGCTTTTCTTAAATTATCCTGACTACCTTTTGCCTCTGAGCTTTCCTCTTTCTCTATTTCTGTATACCTTTCTTTCGACTTGTCTTTTCGTGGCTAACTGTGTACCCTGGTGACCCTGCCTATCCCTGCCCCTGCCTTGCTATTGGCCGCTCGACTCTTTGTTGGACCATCAGGTGTTTTAGACAGGCAACGAATCACAGCTTCACGGAATTGAACAAATGCCGCATAAATAAAAGTCACACACCTTAAGATAATACCCCCCCACCATGGCCTGTTAATCCTGCCACGTTTCTGATGAGGCTGCCCGCATATCTCCCTCACACGCCTTCCTGTGGTAGTGACGCATCGTGTTATTATACTTTCCTATTGTAGTGTCGGACACCATGCCTGCACTTCCTCTTTCCATATTGTTTCTCTCCCAAACAGTGATTCTGGTGTGGGTAGAATTATGGCTCATTTAGCTCCTCCTAGTTTTAGAGCCCTGAACAAGGAATAAGTGTAGATACTTAAGGGGTGTTTACTAAGAATACTTGATGTTTTATTTTATACCGGTAGATCTGAGCAGAAACTGAAATTCCTCCTCCCCTAAGAGGATTCTTGGTGATGTCTGGAGACATTTTTGAGTTCTACAATTGGGGGTAAAGGCCAGTAGTCGGTCTGACAGATTTTGAAGTTCTTAGGACATCCCCCAAGAAGGAATTCTCCAGCCCCAGATCTCACTGGTGCCAATGTGGAGGAGTCCTCATGATGGGAGAGGTGGCCTGCCAGACACTTCACAGTGTGACCTTGGTGTGATGAAATATAAATCTCAGACCACTGCTGTGAACGATCGCTCCTAGTATTTTTATGCCAAATCTGCCTTAGCTAGATTCCACTTCTCCTTTCCAGAACGTTCCAAGAGGATGGAGCTTAGTGAAACCGGGGGAAACAAATAGACAAGCCCTTCCCTGAAGTAACCTCTCTAGTCTCATCAAAGAGTCTGTGTCACGAAAGATGAGGCCATGCCGTTGATTTGTCTAATTTAAGCAGCCCAGGATAGCAAGAACAACACCACAGTTGGGAGAATTAAGATCATCGGAGCTCCTTTAATTATCTACAAAGTGATGATGCTGTTAATGTTTATTGCCTTATTAAACTCGAGGATGGTTGCTAGAATCAGCGGAACAGCCTCTTAAAAGCATAGCATAGAATGCAATATCCAAAGGGAGGGGGAGGTGTGTGACAAACCCT